ATTGGCGGTGGGGGTTGGTTGGGTTTTGTGGGGGGTGGGGGGTGGGGGGTGGGGGTGGGTGGTCAAATATGGTGATGGGGGTAGATTTCAAATGAATCTGTGTAGGTAGCTCAACGGTTAATTTTTTTTTAAATATTTTCTTTTTCCAATTTTACCATAAATACCATTTTTTACTCTTCAAACTTCAAAGACAAAATTATTTATATGAATTTATTTGAATAAATAAAAAAATAAATTTCGATATACATATAAAGTTTTTTTTTTTTTTTTTTTTTTGCTAAAAAATACATATAAAGTTTGTAATTGATGATATTTTGAATTTAAATATATTTAAAATAGGCTTTTTTCTCCCCCCACTTTTTTCTTACTCTTTGTATGATGATTTGAGATTTCTTTTCCTTTTGAGAACAGCCCGCCATTCATATTTGAATTGAATATTTGTTGTCGATAATTACTTATTAGGGTAAATTATAGAGTAAATTACGATTGCCATAGGAGGTATCAAATTATGAAAAACTCCTTTATGTTCGGCAATTACAACAACACATAAATTATGAATTTTCTTGAACATTCACTCTTTTGGTGTTAAATTTAGTGGAATCATCTAGATCAATGTAAAATATTCTTCAGTTTGTACTCGATTTACCTCATTCAAGCTTCACATTTTGAAACAAGATGATTATAAAACATGTCTCTTGACTTATAAATATCAGATTGTGGTTCATCAAAAACTGCATTTTTGCACAAGACGAGTACAAACTAATGAAAGTTCCACGTAATTTAGAAGATTATGTTGAATTTAACACTATAAAAGTAGACATAAAAGAAAATTATTAAAACTACCCAAACATAAGTAGTTTTTTCGTAATTTAACATTGCACATACCTCTAATTTATCCTAAATTATTTATTGGAATAATGTGCCGAAAAGCGCACACACAAAACCTACTCCCTAGTTTGCATTAATTGGGTTAATCACATTACCTGTGATGGAGTGACGTCACTCAATTGATGAGTGGTGCAGACAGTGCCAAGACTTTTTGGACTTCTGAAAATCATACCATAATTACATATAAATTAATTAATATTAATTGATTGTGCAATTTGTGTGACTTTCTAGATGTGAATTTAGTGGAACCACACGTCAATTGTTACGGGCCCATTTTAAGTGGTCGACATATTTTTTACTAATATTCAATAAACTTTATATATATATATATATATATATATATATATATATATATATATATATATATATATATATATATAACAATATTGTTATATTGAGCAATGTATTCATTAAAAGAACAATCAAATAAATGTCATACAATGTTGAATTATGGTCGTTGGTAGTAGTAATCAACTATCTATTTGTAGGCTAGTTAATTCGGCAACCCTATGCCTTCAATTTTGCTTCCTATATTTCTAATGCATTCTATTAATAATTCATTTTATTTAATTCAAATTCTAGTATATTCTTTCTTACCAATATTACAATTTACAACTATTGAAGTTGTACTATTGTCATTTTTTATATTATCATTAAAATAAATTTCTGTGCGTCAGATATCTGCAAACGTTGACCGCGAAGGCCCAATACCAGAATTATTGGCCCAAGTTCAAATTTAAAGTTATGTGCTAAGCCCATTTCTCAATTATTCAAAGGAAAAGCCCAATTACGAACCCATAATTAAATAATTGGAAAATTAATTAACAAAATCCCCTGGATATTTGTTTTTGTCTTACACCGACACCTTAAGGTGTGATTTTTTACGTAATTTATTTGTTTCTAGAAAATATTGGCCGAAAAATGCAGATATAACCCTGCAGATATCGACAGATTGAAGGTACACATGCACATTGTTTCAAAAATTGCCTATATATGTTATGATGGTTCATATTGTAATCGAGGAAGTTTAGTGAAAAAGTTATTATAGATGGTATACCAAGTCCATCTACACTTAAGAGGCTGCTCTAGAGGTGTTATCAGCATTTTTTTGGGAAATTTTTTATAAGAACAAAAATATCACGTGAAAAATCACACCTTAAGTTGAGTGTAAATAACCCAATTGGCCCAATATGAGTTGTAAATAACCTAATTGGCCCATAACAGAAATATGTATTTTTTAGCCCACAAATAATGTAACACACGTGGCAACAAAAAAGAAAAGAAAAAGTAAATAAGAACCCATAAACAATTTTTCTATTTTTGTTTAATTTGTTTCAGGCAATGAATAATATTATCGTTCCTTTTACAACAAAATGACACAATTATGTGGTTGCATTAGCAAACTAATTAATATCTAAAAAAAAAATTTAAATAAAAATAAAAAAAGAAATTATAAATATTTCCATAACTTTGTCTTGTTTATCGAAATCCAGGTTTAGAAGTCAAGTTTCGAGAAATCCAGTGAGCCTGAGAATCGAATTACGGAACTCACTCAAATCCCTCCCCTTCAGCGTCCTCCCATTCCCGGTGCACAACGAGAACGCCACTATCTTTTCCGCCACGCGCCGCCCTATTATCACGTGCGGCGGCACCATTTCCCCATCGCCGTCGGAATATTCCATTTCCACGTGACGGAACCAATTATTCCTCCCCGGAATCCTCACCGGCGCGGAGCTTCTCCTTTTTTCTCGATCATTGATCTTCTTCCTCCTCGATTCCGGCGAATCCAACTGCAAATCGCAGCTCACAGTACTACTAACCTCATCGTCGAGTAATTCCTCGAATAGAATTTCAGATTCTTCGAATTCTTCCGCCATGGAAATTAATTTCTTAACTTGGAGTTTGTGAAAATGAAAATGAAAATGAGAGGGGGGATTTTGTAGGGAAGCAAACGAATGATTGATTGTGAATCTGGAATCGTAACGAGTGCACTTTTAATACTAATTGCTGACGTCACTGTGAGGAGGGGGGGGCGTAGAGTGCGGCCCCCGCTTTCCAAAAGTTTTTATTTATTTTCCTTTTTTATTTAATTGGAATTTGTCAGAGCAAAAAAACAGGGACGCTGTTGCTTGCGGTTCACGGCTTGTGTTGTGTGCATTAATTGTATGTGTAGCTCTCTCTCTGGGTGTAATGTAATTCATTTGTGTTAATCTTTTTGTTTATGTTTAATTAATTGATTAACGCTTGCTTGTCTGTATATTCCTTGCGTTTATTACACTCAACAATACGCGGCTACAATTGTTTTGTTTGTGTGTACCCAAACATTTCAATTTCATTTTTTCATTTTTTAAATAATTATAATAATTTTACCGGATATATCTCCACAATGGCAATAACAATACATTATATTTTCCGATTTTAGAATAATATTTGCCAATTAAAAATATTACAATATCCGATTTTTCTGTGTTCTTTTGGATGGATGTCGATATTTAAATCATATTTTCACTATTTAAAAATTCAAAAATGTTGATTTTTTTATTTAAAATATCAATATTATTATAAATGAAAAAATATAGAATTTTAGAATCCCGTCGATTTTGGAACCATTTTTTGGACTAGAATTGGATATACATTTCACTTCCGGAAATTTTTTTTGCAAAAAAACTAATTTCTATTTGATCAGTTCAATTCACACCCCTAATTATTAACATTAAATTCAATATTTTAAAGGAGATAAATAAACTAAAAAATTATAAGCATATTCTCTTTAGTGGACGATTTTTTTCGTATACACCAATGCAACAAAAAAAAAAAAAAAAAAAGTCAAACCAAAAAATATTTAGGTGACCAACAACATACTGCACAAAATAGAACAGATTGTTAAATTAAAGTAATCATTTTTTGAGAAATTATAATTCAAGAAAAAGTTAAATTTAATTAACTAAGAGCAACTGATTTTAGAGTAAGGAGAAAGGTTTAAGCTGTAATCTGACAAATGATTAGATACCAACCGTAGATTAAAAGCGATCGATCGGCGGATCCGGCGGCTGAGGCTGCGCCGTGACAGAGTTTCCGTTTCACAGTTACCGAGGTGGTGTCTATCTACACCCGTGTTCATTAAACGCCGTTATATATAACAGCCAATAGGAGAACAGAAAAGGAATCCGATTTATCATTTATCCCGCGCTTTGCTGTCACTTTTGCTCCCGCCGTTTTCTTGTGTAGTAATATTACATTTCTTCATTTAGTAAGCAAATTTCTTAATTCCATTTTGAAGTAATAATAAATTAATAATACATTGTTACTACTAAAATTATTTAAAGTGACGAAAAAAATGATTAATTCAAAAAAATGAGAAGAAAAAAATTATAAAATACTCCACCACTAATATAATGAAATAATAACTGCACACATCAATACGTACAGTTTGGTTTTAATTTAGAAGAAAGAAAAAGAAAAGAATGACTACGCAATCAAATGCTTACACGTGTCATTCTCTTGTACGTTTGCCTTTTGCATGCATACAAGATGTGTATATATATATATTTTGTAAAATCCATATAGTGACATCATCGGCCCAATTACAATTCTTTAATTACAAACTTAAGATTATTTAGTGAAGCCCAACTAACGTTTATGGTTTCTTGCTTAGAAAAGCCCAGGCCCAATATTTTAATGGTATTATTAACTATTAACGGGCCCAATATTTTAATGAAAGTCATGTTCGTTTACAATTTGAGATGATGCAAAATACACTGTAGGAGTCAATAGTATTTAAATGTGTTGGAAACATGTATATTAAATTTTCAGAAGATACATCGTTTTATCTTGTATAATCCTATTTTGACAAAACAACGAGCTTAAATAAATAACACCTACTCTATGAAATACACTGAAATAGAAAAAGAAGAAGTGAAGTATACCGTGGAAGAGTTCCAGAAGGAATGATCTAGTTGTTAAAGCAAGTGAGCCTGCATCGATTGACCTAGATTCGAATCTCTTACCAGCTGTCGATAGATAAAACTTATCAGATATAGTTACCCTAGTGTTATTTACGGGGTATAGTACAAAAGACAAGTATTTTTATGAATTAGACTTTTGCAAAATGTGGTTGTTCAACTACTACTTCCTTATTGATTGGAGCAGCAGACAGCACCGAAACTAGGAATACATGTGCAATAAATGCTAATTCACTCAATTTCAATCTTGATTATTCCACTATTTTTTTGTTAATAAAAAATTCATGCCGATATAAATTAAATAGGTGAAATACACTGATTTTACACTATATATCTGCACAAATAACCATCCACTAAGCAATAAGCACACATACAGTGTCTGTATGTATCATTATGTATAAATCAATAGTAAAAAATCACCGAATGTAACATCTACAAAACCATTTTACACCATCTTTAATTTTTGCGAGATTTATTTAGAATTGCTAATTAAAATATTCTTAAATTTCGAAATCCGCACAATCTTTGTAGTTAATTATAGTTTCAGCACTTCAAGGGTTGAATGAATTGTTGGGTTCCCACAAACACTAATTGCACAAAATTGTATGCTTACTAATTGCACAAAATTGGATATGAAACAAGAATAAATAACATTGCCTTTTTTATTGTACAAGAGTAGAAATTCACCATGCGCGTGAAATCAATGCATCTAACCAACTGCAATATGTCAGTTTGTACAAGTAGTTGAAAAAAAAGGCCCAATCTTTGTTTGCTAAAAAATTGTAATATATATATACACCAAGTTTCTTGATTTCCATACATACAAAATGGCAATCACCGTTAAATCATGGATAACGGTGTTAATTGTGGCCGTTACACTAGCTACGGAACTTCGCCACGCAGTCGTTTCGGCCGAGCCTCAAGTTCCATGCTTCTTCATATTCGGCGATTCTTTAGTTGACAATGGCAACAACAATAACATTCAATCTTTGGCTAGGGCTAACTACTTGCCTTACGGTATCGATTTTCCCGTTGGGCCCACCGGAAGATTCTCCAATGGTAAAACAACCGTCGATGTGGTCGGTATGTTCAATCTTTCGTATCCATTTTCACGTTCTTAATTCATATATAATCATAACACCATGTATATAAATTAATAATTTAACATTATATGCAGCTGAGCTACTAGGGTTTGAGGACTTCATTCGACCGTACGCCACCGCGCGCGGGGAACAAGTACTAAAGGGAGTGAACTATGCGTCTGCTGCTGCTGGAATTAGATCGGAAACCGGACAACAATTGGTTTGAAATTAAATAAAATCAACCTCTAAATTTTTTTATATATATGTTCTTTTGTTTTGAAAAATTGCTTATAATTATTAATTAATACTTATTAGGGAGCAAGAATTGATTTCACTGGTCAAGTGAACAACTACAAGAACACAGTTAATCAAGTGGTGAATATACTAGGGGATCAAGAATCTGCATCAAAATATTTAAGCAAGTGCATATATTCAATAGGTTTGGGAAGCAATGACTATCTAAATAACTACTTCATGCCTCTTTATTACTCGACTAGTCGTCAATATTTGCCCGATCAATACGCCGATATTCTCATTCAACAATATACCGAGCAATTAAAGGTAAATTATCGAAGACTCTTTTTTTTTTTTTTTGCAATTTTATGAATTAATTTTTTTGAATAATGTAGACATTGTACAACTTTGGAGCAAGAAAGTTTGCGTTGATTGGAATCGGACAAATCGGGTGCAGCCCGAACGCGTTAGCACAGAACAGCCCAGATGGCGCCACGTGTGTCCAAAGAATCAACGGCGCAAATCAAATATTCAACGAAAAACTAAAATCATTGGTTGATGATTTCAACAGAAACACACCTGATGCCAAATTCACGTACATTGATGCATATGGAATTTTCCAGGACTTGATTAATAGCCCCACATCTTTTGGTAATCACACTAAAACCCCTAATTAATTTTGTTCCTTGTTTTTTAAAATGACAAAAACTAATTAATTTTTTTTTTTGGTTGGTTTAAGGTTTTAAGGTGACAAATGCAGGGTGCTGTGGTGTGGGGAGAAACAACGGGCAAATAACATGCCTACCTCTGCAAACTCCATGTCAGAATAGAGATGAATATCTATTTTGGGATGCGTTTCATCCTACGGAAGCGGCGAATATTTTTGTCGGAAAAAGATCGTACGCCGCTCTAAAGTCAACCGATGCATATCCATTCGATATTCGTCGACTCGCTCACATCTAATTTTTACTAGTTACAATAATCAGACATGTAAGGGTGTCAAAAACTTGTTGCAAAATTTCTTTTAAGACACAGAGGGAACATAAGTTAACTCGTATTTATCTATCTATCAGTTCGCGTCGACGACGTACGCCGCAAAATACACGTGATAGAAATTGATATACTCATGTCAAAGAAAATGCAAACACTAAGTTAATAAAATCCCATAAGGAATCGCCAAAATTAACCGTGTTTTCGACTAAGCGAATGATTTCACACACACACACACACACACACACACACTAAAATAAATAGAGAAAATCAAGAAAATCGAAAAACAAAATACTATTAAATCAAGAAAGATGTAGTCCGCATCCGTAAAACAAAAAAACTACGGGGTCCGCAAAACGCATAATTGAAATACGAAAAATAATCAAGAAACACGAAAGATGATAAATATTAAATTAACTAGAGAGGGCTCGGAGTGAACCACCTCGGAATCGGTTTAATCCTTTTGAAGCTCTGCAAATCGCACGGATAATAGCACGGCGATATAGTCGTACCGTCTTTATAGCTGAAGATCCCGATATCGTGACCCCCGTAACGACATTCAACCCAATCCGGTAGACTAGAAACATCGGTGAAGTAGATGGAATCGGGCTTCAATTCCGGGAATTCGCTCGCACGCAGCGCAAACCCGTGGTTACAACCAACGAAAAACGAAAGTCCATCCAACGAACACTTGTCCATGTATCTAAAGATTTCATTCTCGGGATCGTATTTATGAACATCAAAACTAATAGTCTTGTGTGGAAATTTATTCAAATCATTCATGGGGTCGTAGTTGTCGACATCGCACGCTTCTTCTTCAGCGTACGAACCGTCGAGATTCATTCGTTCGATTATGTGCCTTGTCACAAGAAAAAGATCGCCCGAGTGTTCGTTAACAATAAGGGATTTGTGTTCCATGCTATGGTCTTTGAGCTCCATCTCTCCGGCTAACCGGCGGTCAAGTTCGGAATCATCAAGTTCGGAATCATCGGAAGTAGGTTCGATCGACAAGACCATTGGAATCAACTTCGGAGAAACGGGGTTACTTAGATCCCACGCCTCGAACTCACTGCTGCGAGTGATGCAGTAGAATAACTTTTGTCGGCTCGAGTAGACACACGCCTCGTAAGCCCTAGCCGATCGACAGCCCTTGAACTCGTAGTACCAATCGCCGATCGGAGTCCACTCGGTGCTTCGGCGGCCCGGGCAGCAGAAGGCCAGTCGATTTTCCGGCCCGTAAGTCATCAACGCGCGGCAGTCGTCGTCTCCTTCGACGTTCGGCGAGCACGAGACGATCACGTGGCCTACGCACGAGGTGTTTTCGGGTAATTTGTTAATGGCGGGAAGCTTTACGTGGCGGCGGGAGAGTGGATTCGACAGAAACAAATCTGAATTGTTTTCGTTATGCAGAGCAAGCCACCCGTGTGAAGATCCCACAATTTGAGCGTCGTCTTCTGGAACAGGAACACCTGTTTTTTCCTCTTCTCCGGCGGCGGCGGAAATTTTGTTGAGGCTCAAAACTTTGTCCTGAGAAAGGCTGTAGAAGTTATAGACCTTGTTGCCGCTGCTGCTTTCAGTGGGTGGTGGTAGCATCAGCCACGGCGAGATTCTGGAAGGCAAACTCGCCGGGCAACGGAGAGATTCGTCGGAGACGCTCACCGTGCTCATCGGAGAAACAAAACAACTACCTGTCCGGTAAACCCAATTTGAAACTCCGACAACACTTTTCCGAGACAACAAACTGGTTATAGAGCGAGCCATTTCTCTCTCTCACAATCTGCAGATAGGCTGCAGAATTTCAAGTGCCTCTATTTATTGAAGTTCCGCCGGCCCTAGATTTTTTAAACCTAAATGCATGTTTCAATTAAATATAGACGGGCCGGGCTTCTAAAAGCAACCCGGGTACAATGGTCATTTTGTTATATATATATATATATTTTTTTTTTTTTCTAAAAATATCGGAATTTCATCTAATAACAAAGCTGAGTGTTGGGCCCTGATTGAAGGTATTAAGTATGTTAATGAGCTCGACATAAGGAAACGTGTTGTCGAAAGTTGTGCAAATGTGTTTACAATTTCTCCGACCAACGATGCTATCGATCATCGCATGTAAAACTAAGATTTGTTTTCGAAAATTTTAGGACCGAAATTTGGAATTAGTATTCCAAATTAAAGAACATTTATTTATTTATTTATTAAAAGTACTACTACTGATCCGATCAGTCTGATTTCCACCTCTAATCATGACGCAAACGAGCAAGCAAACAACTTAATTAATCACGTTGTCCGAATTCATGCTCTCCATACTTAAATTAACTAATTAAAGGTAAGCAGATAAGTATTCAATGATCCATATCGGACGCGAGACTTTTTTTCTTTTCTTTTTTTTTTTCTCTTTTTTTATAAAAGATGATTT